TATATCGTCGTTTTATATCTCTGCACGGTTACTGTGTTGGCCGACAACGTAGCCAGTTGTCAGTTGCACAGTTGCATCAAATTAAATTGTATTTTGTGAAATAAATGAAATTAAAAGGAATGACAACGGCAGTGAGCAGCGCTGGCAACTCTCCGACAAGTGGAGCGCACTCGTAACCCCCACTTGCCACACTCCTCCCTCCCGTTCACACATACACATGCATACCTATATTGCTTCTCGATTTCGTGTGTGTATGTGAGCGTTTGTTGCTTTTATTGGTCAGCATCGCTGGACCCGGGCTTGTGATTTGAAGTTGAATTGAGTTGCGTTTTTGGTCAACAATCGAGGCAGTTTTCGGCGCTAAGACTCCACTCATTTGGGGCTGATGCCACTTACTTCAGATTTAGAAAGGTGTTGGCAAACGCCGCAGATGCCACACAACGTGGTTAAGTGCTGACAAATCACGCAGAAAAAAACCTTGTTGGCAAACAAAATAAAAATAAAAAATATTTACAGTACTTCCGTGGCAAATAAGTTTATTTCCGTGCACTGTCCTTCAATTTGGCTGACTAGCTGAGCAACTGTAAGCTTGTAAGTCAAAACAACACGAGTGTTGCTCTCAAAATTATTATCCAAGCACAATAATCTTTTGTTAGGTACGTTTTTTCAGCTTTTTAAGATCTAGATAGGCTTTATTATTTCTGATTCGGCTTTATGCAGCGTAAAAGTATTCTTAACAAATTTACCTAAGTTTTACTTTATTTTATTGATTTTGAAAACTAATTCATATCCATTGTTCAGTGTTGTTTATTTTCTATTATAAATTCGACCAGATTAGATTATTAATTAGATCAGAATATTAAAAATTACCAAGTACATATTACATAACCAGATGACGCTATAAAGTTCACAACTCTATTTATGATACACCTCAGAACTGATGTACGACAGTTCATTTTCATCCTCTGTCTATTATGAAGTTTTGTCTTGATAAGCGTTTCAGCTTTTATTTGGCGTTGGTTAAAAGTATGTTAGCACTCAAGAGAGACAAAAAGATCAAGATAGTTACAAGTATACAAAATTCTTCTCAGCACGAGGCTAACACTTGCATACAGTGATTAAGTTTTTATATGGATTATAAGAAGTGAACATATCATTATGTTATCACAGTTTGTGTTGAAGAAGAATTTTAAGAAACTGTAGAGCCGTTTCTACGCTGGTGGGCGAACTCCCGACGAGTAAGGGAATTTCGTTCGATTGGAGTGTGTGGGGGGAGTGGGACGCAATTGAAATTGATGGAAATTTGTGGAAAGGCTAGGTGTGAAAATATCGACATCGACCGAATTAAATGAAGGCGCTGAAAATGCGACGACGCGTCGACGATGCCTGAGGTCGCCACCCAACTGGGAAGTGCAGGTTGGCGGCTATCATTTGCAGTGTTCGGATAATATAAATACTCTTGTCGTCTGTCGAGCAGTCTAGCAGTCGAGGGGACGAGGACGTGGGGCACGTGTGCGGCACTCCAGAATCGAGCAGCGAACGTCGAGTCGAGTAGAAGATTATGACAGGGCCGGGCTGTTGAGCGGCACACAACGGCTGTCTCTCCGCCTGTCTGTAACTTGCCTTGGCAACTTGTTGGCCACATTTCATTTTGATAACTTGTCAAAATAGTCTGAGGCCTGCTCTAATACGCCGCGGTGTGCGCAGTGCAGAGCAACTGGATGATAAATGCGGCCAGACGGAGAGTCGAGGCGGCGACAGGGCTGGAAAGAGCCGGGACTGACAAAGTGTTGAATGTTATGCCACTTTATTATTGCTATTACATTTCTGAGATGGAGCGTCGGTAGTTGGGGCTTCTTTCAGCCGAAAGCAATGTCGTAACTCTTTGTTTATCCAAATGCCTCTAAACAATTGTTTTATAGCAATTTATTTCAAGTGTCTCTGTACATTTTGTAAAGACTTGAGGATCGTGGTAATGCTAAGAAATATTGAATATTTTGTCAAATGTGTCCTCTGCTGAAAATTAAGATAATCATCATGTTTCCTCACCCGAATAATAATAAGATATCTCAAATTAATTGTTGTTGTCACTAACCAACAGAGTGCGGAACAATATTTAATTGAAAGTATAATACATTTATCTAAACTTTATAAAAAACTGCCATTTCATAAGCCATTCATTTCAGTAAATCAGCTTTTGAATAAAAAGAAAACATTGCTTTTCTTGTAAAGTTGCTAAGAAAGTTGAGCTGACATTGCAAATATGTATTGGAATCCCCTTGTCCCCTGAGTTTGCATTTTGTCGAAAAATCTTAAAGGCAGGTTTCCTTTATCGCTCCGGTGGGTTGCCGTGCGCATAAAGTTGTGCAGCGCTGGTCAAATAAAGTTGTCAGCCAATGTCATAAAAACCCCACCCTGGGCCGTCTGCACTACTGGGTCAGCAAAATAGTGAATCGAACATTGAATATGGCCATGGAACACGCTACTTACTCGTGTATGACAATCCCTAGTGTATCATACGAAATATTGAGAGAGAGGGTCGCCACAAATCACACTCTGACCACCGCCTGATCTGGCCCTGCAACAAAGTTATGCCAACTCCCCTCGTCATGCCTGCCTGCCTCCCCTCGCCACTCGGTTGACCTTTCCTGCTGGGCTGCGTAGCAAAAATTATTATTGCCTCATAAAAATTTCACTCACTGGTCCTCATCTTCGAGTTGTGTTATGCGTATGCGTAAATATATTTGCGAGGCTAGCAGTTGGCTTTATGTTGCGAGCTGATTGGAATACAATATTGGGGGAAGGTGGATTTTATGGTCTGCTCTGCTTGTTATTTATTTATAAGTTGAAATTCATCCGCACCTCTCGCACCACCCTCCACCGCCTCCGTCCATCTCCCAGTGCTGTGTACAGCGTTCAACTAATGAAGTCTTTCCGTGAGGCTCGGCATGGAGACATGACTTAATTTGTTAGACGTTATCGCTTCCGCAGCAACTCAACTGCTTTGGCTTCCAAGTGCAGGCAAGCACTCGCAGAGAGCTCTCTAGCTGGCTGGTCTGGTAAATATTCGCATGTTAGTCTACTGTTCGGTTTGGTTCTGTTCGGTCCGTTCTCTGCCCCGCGTTATCTTTTGGTTGGTTGGCTGGCATTGAACGGGGACGGCTTTGATGACTGTGATGTATGTTTATTAAATTTTCCTTAGAGCCACCAGTCGACCAGTCGAATGCCGAAAGCCGAAGATCGACAGAGCTATAAGGATAATACGAATAATCCAATCTTCGAAACACTTGTACGCCCTTGACGATGAACCACATCCGATCATAGATACTCCAATCGACTCCACTCGACTCGTATAAAGTGGCTCTGTGGTGTTTGGTGTGTCTGCCAGCATCCCGCAATGGCCTGCAATTGTAGGTGTTGTCTAGATCGTGGCCAACAAGAGCTGAATTGGCCGACCGTCGCTGTGGCCGTCAAGGTTGCCCGACGACACCAGCCGCAGATTAAAGATTCCACCAATACAAACAAGCGAAATAATTGAAGCAAGCTACCAGAGACAAGAATCGGCACTGAGTGCTGGTGCACGTACTATTCATGGTTAGGGCCGCCACCGCGTATGGAAAACCTGTTCCCAGCAACCGAAACAATTAGCGCGAAATTTGTGGGTGCCATAAAGCGCGCTACACGATGGCAACATGTCGCGGCCATTTGTGGCGCAATACGGGCGATAAAACCGCCAACTCTATAGTCCACGCATTTTTCCTCCTTACGCCCCCCTCCTTTCTATCTCTCTGTTACAGTTTCGGCCTTGTTTTCGCGCCCAATTAGCCACACTTCAAAGTCATCCACGGTATGGCAATCCTCCCGGCGGCCATCAAAGCCATATAACTCATACTCATAATCGTTCATCTTACAAGTACATCGGCAGTCGCGACATATGCCAGACAAGCCCCATCCTTGGACCACAGGCGGTTATTATTCATATGCAATCGCCTCTGTCTTTTTCATAATTTCGCCTCAACTTAATTACGCATAGAGATCAAACAAATTGCATGCAACATAAATATAAAATACTATATAAGCAACCTGAAGAGCCACTTCCCGAGCCAGACAGATCCGCCACCACCCAAATGGGGCGGATTGAGGTTATTAGGATGTCTGGGCGCTGTGGAGACGATTCTGTTGGAAAATTATGAAAATATTTTTCTGTGCAAAATGCTGAACTTGAATTTTGAAATGTCTGCCCCAGACATGACATAATTTCTCATCGTCAGAAGACTGCAGCCAGGTTATGGCTTTAAATAGATGCGGCATGCCTTCGTGGCAGTCTAGCCGAGAGCTGCTAATGGTTTTAATGCCATTTCGCTCCCTATATCTGGAGGCTAGGCCCCCAGCTGTGAGAAATCTTCCCAGTTTCTGCAGATGTAGAGGAATGGATAAACAGCCATCCAGGGGACATTGAGAAAAAACTATGCATTTGTGATTATTCCGGGGGAACTATTCCTATAATTTGAATATGTAGAATATATAAACCGTTCTGCTCAATTTTACTTTATTAAGAATCGACAAAGTTCGAAATATCAATTCTATATTGCCTATAATTTGGGCTTAAAGACTATCTTTTTTACAAAAGAAGAAACACATGTTTGTATTTGAAAGAGTCTCTAATATTCCAGCAACAAAAAATTTCAGAAGTTGGTAAGGCATGTGGCGAGTCGCGAATATGGAGCAAGGCCTTCGATTATGAACATCTGCTCCGCAGTGCACATAATACACAATCACGAGCCATCGAGACTGATGAATGGTCGTGCTTTTGCGATTTTTGGTGCCAAATGCAAAGCAACAAAAAATAAAACGTACTTCCTGTACAGGTCCCGGCTGTTCTATATGCTCGTATGTAGATTAATGTACTTACCATACACTCGTTCGAGAATGTCAATTGGAATTTATCGAAGCGGCCCCATAAGCGGAATGCGAAACATTTCCCGGAAGAAAAACGCCAGTTTTTAATTTGTTCGCTCATTTTATTTTGATCTTTCGAATTTGGGTTTTATTTTTATTTGTATTTTTAAGCAACTACCACAGTTCACATTACGCGTATGTATCATTATATGTAAATAATTAGTTATAGCCATAAAATTAGTTAAATGTTTAACTTAGCTTGCGCTCTAAATTTAAGTGCTTGATCAGGATGGGCCAATGCCAAGCCAAGCCAAGCCAGCCGAGCCGACACAATGCTTCTCACCGTCTTTTTACTTCCGTTTGTTTTCGTTTCTTTTGTTTTTTTTTTTACAACTTAATGCCTAGCCATAATGCATTTAAATGCCTTCGAAATCGCTATTTATTTTATAGACACAGAGTATATATTCGTGTTGTATACTTAAGCGCCAGGATGGCTGGATCAAGCTTAGCGTAGTGTTATGCTCAAGATATGTACTTTACAAAAACCATGTTTCCGTTTCGGTGCACCCAGGTGCCATTACTTCTCGGCCACTGCTACCGCCGCATCCCCCTCATCCTGCTCCTTTTCCGGCTCATCATCGCCCGCATGTGGAGTCATCGGCTGGATGCTGTCGGCTTGATTGTTCTCTGTCTTGATGCGACTCAGAGGATGCCAAATGCCGTCTTCGTGTAGCGGACTCATTGCAGTCCTTGTGCCAGAGTCCGGCGAGGCCGAATGAGTGGGCGGTGATTTGCTGCTACTGCGCCGTCCCATTTGGACCGCATGGGTCAGATTGTAGTGCTGCTGGGCGCCCAGAAAGCTAGGAAACCCCAAGAGGCCGGGTGGTGGTATGTTTGGGAACATTTCTGGACTTCGTTCCCCGGTCTACATACGAGTAGTTGTATTCAAAAGAATAACTATCGAAAATTAGGTCAATCATTAAAACAATTACCTTCGGCGGCAGTCCATTAAAGAAGGGCGGCAAGTAGGGAAAGAAGAGCTCAGGACGTCGCTGCATAAATTCCTGCTCGGATGTTGGCAATCCCGGAGGACCGCCGTGACCGGGTCGCGCATGTATCGGCAACTCCAAAGACATGCGTCTGCCGCGCCTCGATGTGGGGTTCGTCCACATATGGGTTCCCATGTGCACCTAAGATAAATAGCAATGGATGGAGAGGGGGCGAGAAAAGGGTATTTAGCATAATTGGGATCAGAGCCGGTTAGCCTGGCGCACCTTCAGGTTGCCCTTTGTGGTAAAGGCCTTCTGGCAAACGTTGCATTGAAAGGGCTTGTCTCCGGTGTGTGTGCGCATGTGAATCTGCAGGGCTGAGCTGGAGCTAAAATTTCTGCGGCAGACATGGCAGAAGTGTTTGTTATTTACAGGCGGATCCAGGCTGGAGGTGGGCGGTCCCGCGGACATCAACGCCTGCTGGAAGTCGAGCGGGCTGGCGGGAAAACGGTGCGCATCTGTGGCGGAAAACTCTATCAATTGTGGCCGGAACTGACGGCTGTGGGCTCACTACTTACGCAGCTGCATCTTCATCAAGGACTGCTCTGCATCGGCGGCATCCTGCGATGGATAGGTGCTGCCTTTGTTGCCATCACAGCTCCCGCCTTCGTCGACCAACGCATTAGACTCAATGCAGTCCGCAGCGGGTTCCTCTTTAATGGCCGCACCACATTCTAATGACGTTTGTCGCTCGGCCGAGGTCGACCGCTCGTCCAATTTCTCGCAGGGGGCCAGCGCCAGGGGCTTCTTGGAAAAGAGATTCGGGTTCAGTGTGAGCTGAAATATGAAAATAATTTTCATATGCGCGACTATTTGGCACCGCTGCACTGTCCATGTCGAGTCGTGTTGGTTGATGAGTGAGTGTCAGAGTCGCAGACTGCCACACAATGGGCGCTAATTTCTGCACATTTCCAATTTAATGTCCCGACACAGACGCGCCTTTTAATAATCTTATTTTTAAATGTGGAAAAACATAATTTAAAATTTCCTATGCCAACTAATTATCTTGCGCGGAATTCGCGTACGCAGACAAAATCGTCGCCAATGCGTGGCCCGAGTCCCCACGACGCTCATATTTTTATGGGTAAACAATTGCTCGCTGGGCGCGGCAGTGGTTCCGACACTCTATAGACCCAACAGACTCTATAGCTGCAACAGCTGCGGCCGCGACAAACAAAAGATTAAATAATGTTGCATAAAGCGTAACATAATTTATTGGCATTGAATGCATCGCACACACACACATATGCACCCCTCTTAGCTCCAACAACCAACAACCTCTGTCCCAAAAACGTACTCCATATGTGCGTGCCACACTTTCGACTCGAGGGGGCGCGTGCCGTTCAGCAGACGAGCAGACAGGCGGCACTGTTAATGGCATATATCTTCTCCCCATTCCCCCTTCCCCCATAAGCCAACCGAATTTTGAACGGGCCGGGCTGGGCGACCAAACCAACTCGTAAATTTCGCATCATCATAATGCATTTTTGTAATTACTTAAGATTTTTGAGTCATTTAGAAAAATTTCAAGCCCCAAAACATGATGCCGTCTGATGTAGTACGTACTCGTAGATCATCAACAGTTTGCTAAGCAACCAAAATCGACTAATCCGACCGGCACTAGATATGGTCTGCCTGCTACTCGGCTAGCTGAAACATCCCAATACACAAACCAGGAGCGGTTCAAAGATACTTTTTCGTTTGTTTAAATGATGTAATTTGTTTGGAAAGCATGGAAGTGCTTTATTGTGATAATGATTCCAACGGAAGATCTTCTCAATAAAGTTATAGAGCTCTGATCCACTAATGAGTTGGTTTCATAAAAACCAATAAGCGTTACAGAATATATACAAATATGTTTTATTGTGCAAACTTCTTAATTATAATGTTTTTAATGTTTCTAGGGTGAAAAATTCCTCATTCTTCTTGTTTAATAGAGAGAGCTTTTCTTTAAATTACCAAAAAGTTTATTGGTATATTCAAATTAATTTACCGCAGAGGTTTTATTGAAATACGTTTTCAATTCCCTAAATATGAACAGTTCTATTGATTTTTAATCTTTAAAAATAATTTTTTCTAAGATCTATTTTTCATAATGTCATATCAACGTTGTGAGAGTAGCAAAAAATTGTTAATATTTTTTATATATTTTAATTATTTACCTTCGAGTGAGCACTCAAAATATATAGATTATACAATTTCCCGATTGCCTAAAATCCGCGCCTGCCAATAAAATTCTCTGACGATTTTGGAATTACTCCAAGAATGTGAAATATAATGAACGACATCATTAGTCATACAGACAATGCCGCTGTTTTGCGGCATTCCCCACCACCAACATTACATGTTGGGGAAAAATGTTGAAATATTAATAGTCGTATTTGCACCCAAAATTATGACCAGCAGCCTCGGCAGACTTCCCTACCCTCGAACCCTTCCGCCACTGAACAGTTGACCGAGGTGCCGCTTTTGTCATCTTGATGGGACAATGCACACAATTTCTATATTCCCAGAAATAAATGAGGTTGTTGGCTGATTTTCATGAGGAGGGAATTTAACTGTGAATCTTGATTATTACATTCACAACTATGTATAATTTTAGGCCCTTTCAGAGATTAGATGACGACTATTGTTAGGTAATACAGGCAAGTTTGAATATCTTTTGGTTTTAGGTCAAAATACAAATTCCAAGTTATAGTGCCTGTTTCATTTTCTGAATTCGATTAAATTGTCAGATTGTCACAGAATCTTTAAGTTCCAACTGTCTATATACATATGGACATATGGACTTACCTTTGCATTTAAAGGCGTTGGGTTAGCGCTATCGCCGCATTGGAGTCGTGGAATTTTTCCGGCAGACTCTTTGGGATGTTCGCTCTGTAGATGACTCTCAAGAGCCGCAAGGCCGGGGAGCATCTTGAAGCAGAGATTGCACATATTTGGGGGTGGATGTAGGCCTAGATGAAATGGAATATCAATTAAAAGTAATATTATGGTGAAGAAAAACTTCATTCAATTTCAATCGTTTAGAGTGCGTGTGTAAATCTTCCGGACCGCATACCACATGAACTCCGGCACAATAAATTTCCATCAAAGTAAAGTGATGTGGCATAATGACGCAGACAGTATTGCTCGCACATGCAATTGCGATCGCGGTACATCGGCACATGCGAGGCGATCGGGATCGAAAATGCGCAAAGAGTTTATAAATAAATTACGGAATTTGGCAGAAGCACTGAGGAATGGATGCGTTGTTGTCTTGGTCCAATTGAATTATGTCGCACGATCAGATTTATCGCGACATGCTGCCGCCCCATGCCAAACGCTGGCAGGGTCAAAGGTGACAGACAAAGAGGCTTTGTCATCTGCGCGATTTCGAATTCGATTTCGCTTTCCAGCCGTTGTCGTCGCGCGACGCAAATAAATCGCACTGAAGGTTGGCACTGGCACTAGCACTTACCCATGAATCCAAGCGTTCCAAACGGTAGCAGCGGAAACTTGGCATGCGCCTGGCCTAGAGCTTGCATCTCTTCACGGGCCGCCGTCATTAGTAGCAGACTTGGTGGCATGGGTATGCCGAGCATAGGCAGGCGATCCATTTGTTTCGGCAGCGCTGAGCCGCCATTGATGTTAAAGAGACGCGATGCTGAGGGCGATGATAGATCCATGGCTGAGAGTGGTTGCTGCATTGGAAGTCCCGGAGGCGGCTCGCAGCTCTCAGTTAGTTCACTCAACTCTGACTTCTCGTCGTTATCGTTCGACAACCGCTTATCCAGCGGCGTAGAGTTAGCAGTGCTTGAATTATCGCGCGAGTCGTCGGTGCTGTCCATCGTCATGAAATCATCGAACTCGCCCTGCGATGATTCCGAGCGTTGTCCTGAGTTGTCCGAGATAATAGAGAAATCGAGAGTGTCTGAGGTTCCCAATGACTTGTTAGAGTTCTGATCCTCTATGCCCATTTCCATGTGCTGCGCGTTCCGTAAACGCTGCGCCTGCATCTGTTCGGAGACGTCTAGGGTGCCGGGGGCAACTCCTGGACCTCCACTCCCATCGTCCATGGTATGGATGCGTATGTGCTGCTGTAAGATGATGCCGTTGGAGAACTTCTGATGACAGACCGGACACTTGAATTGGCTGCGCATGGGTGGCTTGATCTTGTGGATGCTCATGTGAGCCTTCAGATTTCCTTTAGTGGCGAATGCGCGGCCACAAATCTTGCAGCGAAAGGGCCGTTCTCCAGTGTGCGTACGTATATGCATTTGCAATGAGCTGCGACAGGACATTACCTTCTGGCAGAATATGCACTGATTTGGGTCGGTTAGTTTGTTTTCTATGTTGTCGACGAGCTGTTGCAGCTTCGATGTCTCCGACGTCTTGTCAATCTCGATGAGGTCCTCCCAGGACTTGTCGATGATGCGCTCCATTTGGCTGAGTGAGAACTCCGCAGGCAGCGGGTCAAAACTAGCTGAACCGGAGCTCCGACTGGCTGATGATCGACGTACCATCTTTGCGATCTGCTCGACATGCTCACGACCATCTATTTCCTGATTTAGTCCTTGTGATGTTGTTTTTTTTGCATCACCGGGTGTACTGCCACTGCTCGTGTGACGCTTCCTCACACTGCCATTGCGCTTTGTTGCCGGGGAAGTTATTCGCTTTTCCGGCTTTTCGGGGACAGGCTCCAGTGCGCTCTCCTTAGAGGTCTTTGAATAATCTTCAGGCGAGTTTCCTCTGGTGGGAGCAGTGATAGGCTTGCTCAGATCTTCGGCGTGCTCTGCCAGCTCTTTGGTGATGCTTGCTTCTTTCTCTGATGCGCCGCACGACACTTCCTCAGGACGTATCTGATCCTTTGCTGGCGGCTCTGGTAGTGGTGGAGTTGGCCGCACAAAAGATAGGCGCATTGGTGTGGGAGGCGGCCCGTTGCTTGCACCGGGCAAATAAGTACCCAGCTGCTCAACTGCGGATGGCACTCCATTGGCACACGGCGGCAGAAGTATGGGCGGGAATATCTGCGTGTGCCGTTGGTAATGGACCTTCAGGTTGCCTTTAGTTGTGAATTTGCTGCCGCAGACATTGCAATGAAAAGGTCTCTCGCCAGTATGCGACCGCAGGTGGATCTGCAGAGCGGAATAGCTGCCGAATATCTTCCCACAGTACTTGCAGCGATGCTTGAAGATCTCGCCACGTCCCTGCGCATCTTTCGAAGCGAACTCGTATTCCTCCTGCGAGGCATGAAGGCTTTGGGAGGCGGAGTCTAGCACCTCTTCGGTGCGCCGCTGCAGCATTTCCAGGCAATTAGGCTCATTGGGCAGTGGCGGGGGATCATGGTTCGTTATGATGCTCGAGGCTAGGCTAGAACTGATGTCGCAATGACTCAGTGGGCGATAGTTCGACGCCGCCTCTTCAGCAGCATTGTTTGCCACTACCTTGTTTAGTTCTTGCTCCGCTTCTACTTGTGTTCCAGTCTCCGGCTCCTCCTCGTCATTATCAGTCTTTATGTTCTCCGCTCCCTCAGCAGCACTCTCTGCCAGCTCGCCGTTTAAGCGTTTTTCCGCCGCTGATGATTTAGCACGGGCAGGCTCTTGTTGGGAGTCAACAGTGGGTTCTCTATTCTCAGGCACGTCACCCTCAACATTGTCCAATCCCTCCGCATCTGGCCTGCTGCTGAGTGCTGCCACCACACCACCCGCCCGCTTCAATTGACTCTGTAGGTGATGAATGAGCTGCAGTTGCATCAGATGCTGTCTCTGCACATTGAAGATTGTCGACTGCATCATGGCCAGCTCACCGGCGCTGCCAGGTGCAGAGCCGCCACCCGCCTCCTCGTAGTACTGTTGGCTGTTGGCCAGCGCAGAGGCGGCAAATTGCGCCACTGCCACTTTGGTATGTTGTAAAGCTTCTAGTGCCACATGTCCAGTTGTGGGCAGTCTGTTTCCGGATATCAAGGATAGATCCAGGGCCTCATTACTGTTGTCAGTCTCCTCCTCAAAACCCACCCTGCTGTGGTCAGAGGATGCGCCCTCCGTTCCCATCTGCTGATCCCGTTCTCTTTCCGTGCCGTTTCCAGCCTGCTCATCGCTCTCGCATCCTGATCCCAGGTCTCGACCCACTCTGTTCTCAGCTAACTCATCCGCCGAGCTGCCATTATTGTTGCTGTCTGCGTCCAGTTCTTTGTCCAGTAGGCCAGAGGCGCTTCCCGCACCACCGACGCCATTCGAAGTGCCACGCGTGCCACGGTAATTAATGCGGTTACGAAAGATTGAACACATTATCCTCTGGAGCCGCTGGTCGCCCCTCACAAACGTTGCCCCTTGGTTGGTCCAATTCTACACATGGGCGCTGTTGATGCTGTAAGCTGTAAGGCTGTGAGATGAGAAGGAAGAGAGAGGGAGAAAATTTGAACAGGGCCTCACACAAATTTACGCACATATTCGAAGCCGATTATTTCCTATAACTGGCCCGGTCGGCCGGCAAGACTTTATGATAAATTTTTGAATATATGTATAGTGGCCCGGTGGCGCAATTTTCTTTTTGTGCGAATGGTTACGAATAAATGAACATATTGCATATTATTAGGCGCGTATAACTTAATGTTCTTCCCTCTGTTGTCGATGACGGGCAGTTCCACGTGCATTCATCTATCTGGATGGCGATTGCCACATTTTTTTGTGACTTTTGAAATCGATTATTGAACTCCCCGACCGCTTTAGCGTCAGCCATGAAGCAATCGCGTATGGGTAATTTATTGATATATTACTTGGAATCACTCAGCATAACTTTATTTTGATCTCATTGAATTCTATTTAGTTACATTTGATTTATTCCAGCTATAGCTAATTTTCCACAAACGAACCTGGTCTCTTTTTAAAGTCCGAACCCTATGTGCGCTAGTCGATAAGGAAGAAGGCAGGAAAGACCTAAATTAGACGATCAAAACAGCTATTGGCTTAGATAACAAAATGTATGAAGTGTTTCCCCTCACAACTGGAAAGGGCAAGACAGTATTTCAATTCTTTGTAAACACTTTCTCCGATTGGATAAGCAGGAAGAAAGAAAAGGCATAAATATCTATTCGTTTAACAATGAGAGATACAAGTAGTCATACCTAGAAAGGCATATTTGTTATATTGATCTGGCCAGCCAATTAATATCACTTAAATATGAGTCAAAGTACGGCATACAAGTAAATTGATACAGTCTTTTTGCAAAGAAAGGATTTATAAGTATTTGGATGCTTTATAAACGTGCCTTAGCTAGCATAAAACTGGCAACATTGACTCAGTTCTTGTTATTATTTTTCTTAGTGTAGACACACGCACTTAAAGCCACATTTCCAGCACTGATTTCTTGTGAAACCGATTAATTTTTGGCAGTCTTAGCCATCCCTCTACTTTAATAGGTTAAGGTGGCGAATTGCAGGTTGGGTGAAGTAGAAATGTTCGTCTTAGACGGACGCCAAAGTGTTGGCCAAGAGGTAGGAAAGTCAGTCAAGTAGCAAGTAATGGAGACTTGAATGCCGGCCACCACTTACGCCAATTGAGGTTATTTCTGGACGATTTACGCACAATCATAAACACAAGACTTGCCCAACCCCTGAGATGGGAATTGTGGGAGTTGCTGGCGCTTGAAATGCCGAAATGCAGAACTTTTCAAGTTATCGCTTCCTTGTCTGTCAGTGGAATGGCAATTGTGGCACTGTTTTCATATTAATGCTTCACCCACTCTCGGAAGCGAAACCAGAAACTTCAAGAAGTGAAAACACTTCCCACCGAAAGAAAATCCATTCATACCCAAACAGCCAAGGCGTCTTCAAAAGGTTTCCTGTCAGCAGGTGGTCTCCCGCTGCTGCAGTCGGTGCTACAGCCACCGCAACCGCCACCGATGTTGCCACTCAACCGATACCGCCACCGCCAACCGCCAAACTTGAAAGGAACTGTAAATCTTTCGTTTTTGTTGAGATTGTTGTTCGAAAGAAATCGTAAATTATGGATATATTTGGTTTGACTTGCGCCCGCTCGCCCGCCTGTCTAACCACGCTGAATTGGCAGCTCTAGCGGATATTGATCAAAATTCTCCGCAATTAGCCTGATTGATTAATCTCGACGTACCGCTGCCTGCAATCCAACATTTAACAGACACCATTGATTTCAATCCAAACACGCCGAGAAAATATGAACGATGAACAACAATTTGCGCAACTTTTAAGTGATTGATACTTTTCTAAAATATATTAACAAAATCTTTCGTATAAAACAATTACTCTGGATACCATTATTGCTGTTTAAAGCAAATTCGAGAAAACGAAATATATATTTACACTAGAGCTGGTGGCACAAAATTTTCCAAACAAATGAAACGTCGAAAGTATGGGTAATTTCTCTTCTCAATCCCTTGCCTTAACAATTTTCCAAAGCTATATTAAATGATAGATCAGAAAGTCGTCCATTTCGATAACAAAGCTAGGTATAGAAATACTAAATGATAGATCAGAAAGTCATCCATTTCGATAACAATTAGGCCATTTCTTATACCATATAACTGTTGTTGTTTTATGCTTAGACTCACAACATAAATAGTGGCCCTCATACATAAATATATTCATGAGAGAATCGTGACGTCTCCAACATTCAGAACTATGGAAAAAAAGCAGAGACGGAAGCGCTATGCAAGAAATTTATGAGCTGTGCCTGAAAAAGTATCTTTCTGGTGGGGTTTCAGGGTAGTAGGCTGGAGTGGGCATGTTGCGCGGAAAGTGAAGCAAGCTGGGGCCGCATTAAGCCCAATTGACGCACTTAAAGAGCCACAAACACAAACGCAGACACAGACGAGCATACAAAGCGGGCGGGGGCTTCGAAGAGCAAATAAGCGAGGGGCTCTGCTTAGGAGCCAAAACAGCACTCAGAGGCCACTTCAATGGGATGACGATGAATCGGAACGGCCACCACGTTGCGTCCAGTGTTGAGCGTCAAAAAAAGCTAGATCAGCAACGAAACAAGCTTGAAACAGCTTAATGAATTAAAACGCTGGTTGCAAGTTGTTTCTTGTAAACCTCTTTTGTCCGACTTATTGGTATAAATTTACTCTACGACCCCAAATGGTATAACATAAACTAAGACACACTCATTACAAGATAATACTGTAGAGAAATACCAGAATTCTGTTGTATTACCCAAAAATACTCCAGAAACCGAGCGAGCCTTTTATTCTACTGTTTACAGCTTTCAAAAACGCTGAAAATACCATATTTTATCATTTTAAAAACTAGACATCTGGCGGGAACATAGCCAAACTGACTGCACTGGTTGTATCGAGTCGCTCTCAAAAGTGTCTGAAAATTTATTAAGCTGCAAAAAATGTTTTGAGCGGAATAGGTATAATTTTCATATAATTTTGGGAGAGAAACGAAACGGAACGAGTCATGGGACGAGCACCACAAACCGTTCGACGATGGACAACACAACGAACGCTGTATGTCTGTGTGTGTGTGTGTGTGTGCGTGTGAGAAATGTAAATGTCTGCGACTGTAAACCATGCTGAGGCGCAATTATGGAGCAGGACAGCGGAGCGGACCAATGCCAAGTGACTAAAAAGTGACATGGGGGGAGCTTTGGTTGCGCGCATACACACACACACACATACACGCGAAACATACACAGACAATACATACACACAAACACACAGATGGAGAGAAGGCAGCCGGCTTTTCGACTTGGCCAGTAGATGAATTTGTATTGTTTTGAATTTGCTTTTGGGGCGCTACTTTATTTTTGCCTTTGCTTTCGTTTTTATACGTTTTTTGAGGGAATAATAAAGACCAGCGAGCCAGCCAGTCAGCCATTCAAGCAGGCAGGCAGGCAGGCAGGCAGGAAAGCAGTCAGCCTGGGTTGGTGTTCGTCGTCTGAAGGAGCAGAAAGGGGTCGATTTTGGGTAGAAGAGTTGTTAAGCTGCCATTGCAAACAATTAAAATCATAAGAGACGCACATAAATTATTCATGGCTTAATCTAAAGTGGACAATCTATGCAAAGTACCCTTCCACACACACACATACACATCTACCAGCCCACACACTGAAGCTATTTGTATGTGTTTGTGTGTGCGAACGAATGAGCGAACGAACGGTCAAGCACTTGTTTCTCCCTCATTCGCATAAACACAGACACGCATGTATATGTACGAGTATGTGTGTGTTGGGCCATTCTTGATATTCGGCCGACGCTTTGTTTTCCTCTTCTTCCTGGACGCTTGCTGACTTTTGTTTTAATTGCTCATAAACGAAGAAATTATTGCGCTTAAGTAGCGCTCTTAAAATTGTTCTCTCTCCATCTCTTGCTCTTTCCCGTTGAGGTGTCGATGGCGTTTTGTTCGCCATTTGACGCCATTTCTAAAATTGCAACAGCAACCATTAGCTTTGAGAAACCTTAGAGCGGGAGAGCGTCAAATAGAGATTGTGTTCACGAACACATTTGTAAAAGAGCTTCGTGGAAAGTAAAACTTTGAAATTATGTTGACAGCAAATATTAAAACATTTTTGTAATGGATTCTTCATCTAATTTAATAAAGTAAATGAAAACATATTATGAAAAAAATATTAAAAATATATTAGTCCAAAACCATAGAAAGTAATGATACTTCTAAAGGTTATTGTTGGGTATTGTTGTTGTAGTTTGATTCGCACATTTCGCTGGGATATAACGAAAGTCGTGTCCCACATAACAATCCAATACATGCATCGAATATTTTAGAAAATATTTGGACACAAAAGCGAACGCAAAGTAAATAGAAATAAAAATGAATAAAAACTCTGGCAAACCCAACAGCGGCCAGCTCTGAAAATATAAAAATAATGGCAAATGTAAAACAAAAATGTAAATGAAAATGCGACAAACAAAATGCGCACATTTCAGTCATAACTGAGAAATATTTCTGGCGTCCCGAGCCCCCCATCCCATCCCCCCAATCCCAACAATTCAACAATGTGTGTTTATTAAAATAAAAATAAAATGCAGACAGAGGCACTGGGACGGAGCCGGCATAGAAGAAAATATTAAAATACATATACAAGTAAATAAAGAACTAAACCAAATGCCAACAACAACAAATACAAAACAAAAGAACGAGCCGAACAAAAATGAAAAATAGACAACGGCAGCAAAAGCGCGAAACACTTCGAATTTTATATTAACGAACAAAAATTAATTTATTGCGCCCCCAGTCGAGAGTCTAAAAGGGGGGACAGGCGGCACGCGTGTGTCTCTGGGTGTGTGTATTTGTGTTTTAGGATCTCTCGACAGTCTGCCAAGCAATCGGAATCGATTGCAGTGACCCCCACTCCCTTCATACCGCTGGGCAGTGGCAAATGTCGCTAAAATGATTCGCGGACTCATAAATTAATTAAGGCAATGAATGCATTCAGAGATAAGTCGCTGGGGTCTGATGAAAAGATCGAGAGATGGCCGTGAGCGTGACTGGCGTGACGTGACGTGAAAAAGTGAGTGGGGAAGTAAAACTGTTGATTCAACTAATGTTTCAATAAATCGGACATGTCTGAATTCAGAAAAAGCGGACGAAGGGAACTTTAAATCCTTTTTTGGAAGAATCTAGCTCTGTATATCTGTATCTCAATTGCCAGGTCGAGAAGAAGGCTCTAAGCTGTTCAAAAAGGTCTTTAAGCCAGACTAAGAAATGTCTTAAAATCAAACCAATGGATTTGGTTCAATTCACACTTTTTGGTATACTTTGAAAGTTCTCCTAAAATGTTGATGATTATTTTTCAAGAAAGGACTGAGATCAATTAGTTAAGAAAAACAACAGATCGATCGAATAGAGTAATTTACTTAAGACGTTATCTGAGAGATGCCACAATGGCTCTCAGTTCCATTAAAACAGTTCCTATTTCAGTGTTTTATTGTTTCTCCATTTGTAAGTAGTTATAATTGGTTTCATTGCCACATCTCGCAGTTAGAGAGAAATTGCGGAGGAACAGGCTTATCTGCGCTTAAACTGTTTCATTCCGCATGTTGCAAACAACTGAGTTCAGTAAACAAAATCAAAATGTTCCATTATTAGATGTTCCACACGAAGGGAAATAAAACGGTTGGGTAAACATATAAACCGCGTTATGAACCAATTCAAAAATTTTACTGACTAAATTTTATGTAATGGTTTATTGGAAAACACAAATGTTATCCTAAAAATACATTTGTTAGTCATATTTTTAAGTTTTAAAAATTTAATGAAGCATACCCTTGCTGTTTTAGAACAGTTAACCAAAATCAAAAAATGTTTAAATAATGTTTAGCTTCCAATGCTTCCACCTGCTTTATCCCTTTTAACAGGGAAAAGGGTGAATATCATCAGGACAGTGGTTTGCACAAACAAAGCATTCAAAAACAAGAATTCTCTTCCTTTCTTGTAGGTAAATTATATTTTTTCGAGTATTTAATTCAAATTTTTGAATTGAAAGTGAATTTAAAAACAACTTCGAAATTTTATAACTTGAATGATGACTTATGCTCAGATTTACGGAAAGTAAAAGGATTCTCCTAGAGGAGATTGTTTTGCATTTATTGTTGTTTCTATATATTTTTCAAAATACACACAGCTAAATACAGTGTGGGAAATATGTTTAATATTTGAATAATTAAACAACTAATTCCCTTATAAGTACTGGTTATACACAAAGTGCTTTAATAAATATTATTTAATGGCCATACTACTGAACCTTTAATTACCTCTAAAAGGGTGGACAATTAAAGTCTCATCTTCAGCATACTTACTAGCCTTTGATTTCAGTCCCATGGCAATTGGCTTCCCAAAAGCGTACCCCCTTAACCAAACTTATTTTCCAATACACCCAGAGGAGGCTCGAATGAACATTTGGTTTATCTCGGGGGCCGCTTGTCGGGCACGCATCTTTTCGAAACACTTTGACGTCCTGACTTGACACCTGTCATCTGCAACTGAAGGAGAGGCGCTAGGACCACCCCGATGCACCGAAAAGCACCCCATGACACCCCGTTGCATCGCAATGCAACCCGGAGGCGTGTTCTTCTGCTATTGTTGGGTTACGCCCCTCTTTTGGGCACCCCGTCTGTGTTGTTTCTCTAGATGATGATGTTGTTGTTGTTGTTGTTGTCATGACATAACATGCTCTTCGCTTGTTATCCCTATGGCCTATGGATGACCGATGACAACAATACACCGCCTGTTCGTCAAACATTCTCCCAAGTCTGTCCCCAGCCCACCCCTCGCTGCTTGCATTCGTGTTGTGTATATTTTGGGAACAAAGTAGTTGTATTCACGTCAACTCTGACATAAGCCCGACATGCAAGCCAATGTCGAGACTGCCTCTGCCTTTTCATCCGTTCGACACCTCAAATAATCGCCAGAGAACTTTAATCTGCTGAGAAATGAGTATCACAGAAGAAATGATGAATCCAACATCGGAAACGGCTTAAATGATTATATTTCTGGCACGACACACTAAATAGAAGATGATGTTAATAAAATATTTGAGTTGCAAATCAGAGAACAAAATGATGAATCGCATTAGAAATTGTTTGTAGGAGATTAGCTGGATAATTAGCTGTAAAGCTGCAAGAACTGGAAATACTCGGTCATATAGGGTTAAATTGGTCAAGAGATTGCAAGTCACTTTAAACAACCACTAAAGGAAGATTTTTCTTAACACGTGAAATGCAAATCGGAAAAGGAAGTGATGACTCTACTTTATTTATATTTATACTGGTTATATTTCTATGGAGATTCTCGAAAGGGTACACTTATGGTTATTTAAAGGCTAACTAGTTAAAGCTACTCGTATAAACATGATCTTCATCTCCTTGCCTTAAGGGCGCTATAAACAATATCTACAGAAGCCTCATAAAATGAGATATATGCTTGTATTCTTTTTTCATATGAACTCCACACGGAAAATGCTATTCCGTTACTCAGACGAATCTATTTCTTACCAAAATTTTGTTGATTTAAGGCAGAAAGGGCTTTTGAAGCCACAAACTTGCTTAATATTTTGATATGTTGTGAGTCATAAGGAGACCGTCAACATAACACATGTCAGTACGAATAATTAATATACATACATCGTCCATTATCCTTACATCATTCATAAAGAACTAATGCTTTATCTGATTCAAAAATTACAACAACGAAACGAATTATATAAAGATATGCGTGCGTTATCGAAAATGCAGCCATGTCGATAGATTTAAGGTTAAGAATAGACAATACATGGAAGAAAAGTGGTAGAAGAATTATAACAGAAGAAGAATCAAAAAAGAACAGAAAGTGACTACAAGGAATAATTCAATGATTCACAATGCAAATAGAATAAAATAGAAAAATGGAAGAAGAATAGAAAAAAGATGGATAGTGAATAGAAGAAGAATGAAAGAAGAATTGAAGATGACAGTAAGGAACAATTTGCGGTTGTTTTCAAATAGCAAAATCTTAGTGGAATCCAGTAACGACGGGTATTTATTTATTACAAGTATGTTTATTTTTTACGTATTTTTGGCCTTCACTTAAAATCTAGAATAGGAACAGAAGCTGCCTGAACAGTCCTGCTGTGGAAACTTTCTCAAAATTCCTTTGTGAATTTCGTAACAAGTAACAATGGCAATCCTTAAAAAAAGAACACAATTTCCACAGATCTCAACTAATTATGTGCAGGTCTGACCATTCCTTCTAATATCGACGTTCATGTTTAGTTATCAAGCTTAAAGTTGAGGGAAACTTTAAATGGAAACTTACCGCAACTACCAGATGTGGTCGTCCTTCGTCCAGCTGCTCCCGTTGGAGCTCAGCTCGCTGTCTCTATAGCCATTAGCGGAGTCCTTGGCCTGGCAATTGCCAAACGAAAACGAAAATGGAAAATTGCAAATCGTTGGCGAAAAGCCGACGGCACTCGCTGGCGGCTGGATGGATGGAAGTGGGGAGGTGGGGGACGATGGATGCCTGCAATTGTTGTTGTCCTTTAAAAATTGAATTCGAAGCACTTCATGCGTTGCGAGTTTATTTAAATTTTATTAAATTTTTTATTTATATTTTGGAGACATCCGCGGCCGATGGTGATTGTTGTGGTTTTTCGATTTTCATTTGCATTTATGTATATATACTATATATATGGGTATGTATATGTATGAGTGTAAATATTTTATGATTAATTAACGCGCGAGCACGAAACACCCCCACGAGCACGCACACACACGCACAAACACGCACAGACGGGCCAGCGGGACGAAAAAATGAAAATCAAAGACACGAGCGGGCGGGCGGGCGGCAGACGACGGGCAGTTTTTGGCAATAATATTTCTTGAATGGCAAATTAGCTGACGTCTCACAGCGAACAATGAGCAAATGACCAAAGAACTGGCTGCCTGCCTCGCTGACTGACTGAACTGGTAGCTGCGTCCAGAGCCAAGCCCGAAGCTTAGCTGAGCTGAGCGGCCTCTTCCTGGCCGTGGCGGCAGCGACGACGACGACGACAACAACGGCAACGGCAACGACGACGACGACGACGATTACGGTGGCGACGACGACAGTGATGGTGGCTGTGGCAGCGTTGCGTGCGCGCTCGCTGGCGACCAGGACCAACAGCAGAATGTCCTTTATGGATTTTTTCAGCAACGGCTGAAGTGCCCCTTTCGGCAGCACCGACAGACTTGGGGACGTAACGGCGATGGCAACGCCAACAACAACGACAACAACAACGGCAACGGCAGCAGCACAAGCACACAGCGGCGTGCAAAACTTTTGCACTTGTGAGCACGAGCAGAGCGCAACGAACAAGACGAACAGTCGGTCCTGCAAGTGGCAGAAGGTTGCTTGCACTGCCGCCAAATAGACACCCACTTGCACACTCACAATCATACACACACACACACAACACCCTCGGGCCAGCAACTGTTATGGGCGAGAGAGAGCATTTTCGAACAAGGGGAAACGCTGTTAACATGCACGTATAAGACTGTTACCGTTTGGAACGCTGTTAAAGCTAAATGCTGGCACTGTTAATGCACACAGCAGCTGTGCTCCTCTAACGCACATTAACGACGCATAAATCAAGCTAAACTGCGTGCGTGTGTGTGCGCCTCTCTTAGCAAGGGCATCTTGAATTTTCGCTGGCTGGCTGGATGGCAGCAAAGTAGTGTGAGTGTGACCGTCGCTGACGCCGCTCGTGCAGAGTGCGGCTGTTGCTGCTGTTGTTGTTGTTGTGTGTAGCGGCGTTCGAAAAATATTTAACAGCTACCTCAAAAAACACACATCAAGAAAAATGTGAAAGAACAAAATGCGTTTGCAGCGGCAGCAGCGACGACGTTGGCGGCGTCGCCGATATCTACAAATAAATAAAAGCAAATTATGACAACGCTAACGTTAGGCGGAGCATAGCGCCTGACTTCGTCGGTTTTGTGTGTGTGTGTGTGTGTGTGTGTGTATGTGTGTCTGTTCGTTGTTGTTTTTCCTTCAATTTTTCGATGTTGTTGGACGCTTCGGCGTCAGCGTCAGCGTCGTCGTTGGTTCGCTCAATCATATTTCTTCTTTCTTCAAACATACATACAAACATAACTACACACGCATACACATACATAAGTACATAGTTAGTTTATTCATCTATGCATGTATATAGTTATGTATGTATGCGTGAGCTTTTCTATCGGATTTTTAAGCTTCTTCAGGAGTTTTTCATGCCGTAAGGCGTTGCCCGCGGCCAGGTCCTTTTCCTGCTCCTTTGCTGTCTGCGTTCTGCTGCGAAAATGCCGTCGGCGAATGGCATGCCAGGAGTCCTTGTGCGAGCATTTTTGAGGCGAGAGCTCTGAATTCGTTTTTTGCGTTCTGCCGCTCACCTGTTACCGTTATAAATACACTCTCACACACACATGAAGGCATTTGTAAAACTTGCAAATGTCCTGTCTTGATGACAGTGGAAGGTGGGAAGGGGGGAAAGGGGGAAGGGGTGTGTGAAAATTTCTCTGGCATTGATAGACGAAGCGCGCTGCTTAAATTTGCATTCTGCATGATTTGATTACGTAGTAGAGTTTTACAATATTCGATGCCATTTATATTTAAAATTGTAATTCATTTCATTTATTCACAAAATTTTTAAAATAATGTGTGCTTTTTGTATTAATTAACAATCTTTTCTAGTTAATTAGATAAAAACATTTTCTTTTTACATCTTTTGAGTGAACAAATGGCTTCTAATATCTAACAATAACGGGGGAAAACTTTACCGAAAAAAACCAAAACCCCAAACTTTTAGAAATTCAACTTAATTCAATTTCGAAAATTGTTATTCTAAAAAACTTAGAAATCAACAGCCCTTATTCTATACTTTAAGATAACTATGTTCTTAAATTTTGAAAACTAACAACCATATTTTCGTGCTAAATTTTTGGGCGATTAGAAATTTCTTCATTTCGCTCAAAACAAATCCATTCTTAATTAATGTAAAACCAGGAAAGTCAAATTTTAAATCAAAAAATGGAGATAACGTCCAAGTTTCAAATTAAGAAATTAGAAAACGGATGGTTTGCTTTGAGTGCTAAATAATGTTTATGCAGTATATGTTTATGACAGTAAAAATAAATTAATGTAGCTTATATCGTTCTGAGTGGGGACCTATCTTTATTATTGGTTCTACAACTCTACATCGATGGCGCTCGAATTGGAAACTCGGCGGTCCATTAAGAGTTTTAAACCAACTAATTTTGTGATGTAAATCAAACCCATGTCCAAAAATGTATAGAAAACTGTTTAAGTAAAAATATTTCAAATTTAATTAAAATATATAGAAAATATTTCTGAATTTTACAAACATCTGCCTAATTTCCAGGGCAAAGTTTATTTGATTTCAGAAAGACGTTTTGAAAAAGTAGTGTGCTTCTTATCCTATACTTAGTTGAAATGCCCTTTGACTAAGTGCTGAAAAAATGTTTCAATAAAGTGGTTCGAGAAATTTTTCTCAAAGAGTACTCGGAATTATCTTTCTTAGAAAGCTAAATTTTGTGCAAACTTTTTGCCCACTACCTATCAACTAAAACAAAGTGATATAGAAAATGAATTAAATATTGAAAGTATGTATAAACAGCCTTTTTGGAGATCTGCCCTTTTGGAAATTTCATATTCGATAACTGAAATACACACCCATATATACACACACACAGACATTTATATGCGGTATTATGTCTACTATGTGCAACCCTCAAAGCCCACAGATAACTCGCATTTGGCGTATCCGTGCGGAACATCTGCCCCGCTGCTCTTCTCAAAAACCAAATGTAGGCCGAAAACCAACAACAACATAAACTTGAACCGAAACATATTCAAAATGGTCGCGATCTGAATAAAAAATGAAATAAAATGATAAGAAACAATAAACAGAGGCACAGCCACAATGCAAACAAATGCGTTCAGAGCCGGTCGCACCCCGAGCTCTCTTTCTCTCCCTCTCTCTCCATTGGCAATACCAATCCCCTAACGATTAGAACCCCTTCTCCTCAGGCCGCAGCTCACTCTTTTCACACAGCCCACTGCAGATCAGAGCTCGCGCTCACGCTCGAACTCCAACTCCGTCTGTCAAAAATACAATGTAGTTTTGAGTGCCAACGGGAAATTAGAGAGCGGGAGCGCCGTGAGAGAGGGAAGCGACATATAGTCTAGTCCACGAAGAGTCAAAGCAAACGGCAACGCCAACGCCGATGCAATGACGTTTATCATCGTGTTACCAGAGCCGAACCGAAATACACCCATACATACATATGCGTTAAGGGAGGGGCGGGGAGGCAGCGGCTGCGGCAGAGTCAGTCTTAGCCATTGCGGCGGCGAATGCAGCCGAGCGGGACAGCGGAAAGAGAACGAGTGGCTTGAAGTGAGTAGATTTCTATGCAAATCGCTTCGGGGCAGTCACAACACGTCTTTCCATTTTTTGATGACGACGATTTGTCTCCACAGCCATAAAAACATTTACAAACCTTTGCCACTTCTCCCCCCCATTTGCCTCTTCTTCTCTTCGCCCAGACAATCAAAGTCAAAGGGCAATTCGATTTACCGCCGGGGCGAGACGACTTTGAATCGACAGCGTTTCGTAGAAGCGTCCCAAAAAACATAATTAAAGGCTGAATAAATTATTACAACGCACATTTTTGAGACGTGTCCGAACTATATTCTGTTCCTACAACTCTACCTCTATGTGTCGCCGGTATAGATATTAAATATTCCTTCCAATTCAATGATTTCCCTCTAATTTTTTACGTTGATAGCATTGGATGAGAACTATTAATCAAAACCATTCCAAAACGATTCAAGCAACCTGTTTGTTGAACTTCCAGATGGAACTTTGTATTTAAGTTATACTTAGTATGTCCCTTTCTGGACAATCCAACGATGGTTTCCACTTAATTCCTTATGTCAATCTTTGCCTAAGCGCTTCAGTGTGGCCTTCGAATCCAACTCTTTGCAACTCTAGAAATAGGTATGAAGTCAGTGATAATGTCCATAATACTCATCACTCAATTGAAACAATTTCGATCCGATAAGCACATCAACGCAAATGCACGTCGACCATTTACTTGAAATCGGGCGCATCGCCGGACACTAATTACCTCCACAGATACGCTTACACTCTCGGAATTAATTCCGTTTGCTCGAACACAAATACATACGTGACAGAAACAGAGTTTATATTGGGGAATCATTTAAAGTTTATACCCCAATGGGAATACCCTTTTATATGTAGTTTGGAGGCTTGCTAGCTGCCCATAAATTCAGAATATCACATTAAAATAGAACAGATAGGAACATCGGCCTAAAAATAGGGGAGCTATTGAAACGCAAGAGCTAGAGCCACACTCTAACTAATACTTTTCAAATTCTAACCATTTCTTTATGATATTGAAATTGTAGGTTTGTAACAAAAGCCACACTGTACTTATTACTTATAAGTTTGAGCTAGTATTTTTTTTTTTTTTTTTTTTAATTGGCAACTATTATGAATCAAACACCATATAGAATCAAGAACTTTCATACAAATTGTCTTTATAGAACTCTGGTATTTAAAAATGAATTCAAAACAAACACTTTTTAAGTAAC